TCATTGGAAATCCGGTGATTCCTGAGATCCCATACCCTGGGGCAAAACCAACCTCGGGATCCCCAGGAGGTCCAGGGCTCAGAATCCCAGGACCCCCTTATGAAATCACAAGGTTCGCGACGTCAGTGGTGCACGAACTGTATGATTTCATTGGGATTCCTAGGGTTCCTGGGATGCGAATCAACGGAACCTTGCGATGTCATTGGGATGCTTGTGGTTCCTGTGATTTCATACCCTGGAGCAGAACCAAGCTTGATATCCCCAGGAGTCCAGGGCTCAGAATCCAAGGGAGCCGAATGAAACCATAGGGTTCGCGACGTCGGTGGCGCGCAAACCTGGTGATTTCATTTTCATAATTGATAAATGTCTGAAAATTATCAGTCCTGACCTTCGGTGACTCCAGGGTTCGTACTTTGTTGATGTTCTGGCGCTGGCAATCCCCGGAATCCAAGGAATCCCACTGAAATCACAAGGTTTCGTTGGTCTGCATCCCAGAACCCTCCGGAATCCAAATGAAATCGTAGGTTTTGCGCATCACCGACGTCGCGAACCATGTGATGCCATTGTGATTACTACGATTCTGAACCCTGGATCCCCAGGTGATCCCAAGGCTGATGTTGTTCCAGGCGCTGGAAATCCAAGGAGCCCAAGCACCGTAGCCATGTTGGCTCAAGCGGTTGCATGCCTGGCACTCGGTCGGCCGTCTTCGGAATGGACGCCTCGCGCCTCGCTAGAGGGGCTCTCTCGGTCGCAGATGGCGCTGCTTTGGTGGCTGCTGCTGTCCGTGCCGCGGTGCGTGCCCAAGCGCCGCGGCGCACGGTCGCTGCCGTGACGCGGTCGGCGGTGTCGGCTGTGATTCTCGCCGCCTCGGCGCTGCCCGACGCGTCGCCTGGCCGCGACGTCGCCGCGCAGGAGGACAGGAAGGAACCGACGCCTCTGTCGGCAGCGAAGGTGGAGCGCCGACGGCGTCGGCGCCGCCGCGTGGCGGAGGCGCGCGCTGCGGGGCGCGCTGTTCCACCTGCTGCTGAAGGGGGCGCTGGTGCTGCTGTCGCTGGAGCGGCGGACGCGGGCCTTCGGCCCGCGACCGCGGAGGAGGCTGCTGCGGTCGAGACGGACGTGGACGACGACGAGTGGGCCGACGGCGTCGCGCGGCAGGCCGCGGCGCGGCCGAGCCCCGACGTCGTGCCCATGGAGATGGAAGCTGCTGGAGCTGGTCCTGGCGCTGCGGCGGCGGGGGCAGCGGAGGCAGTCGTCATCACAGCGGAGCGCCGCCTGCTGGTGCGCACCCTGGGCGTCCCCGTGTCCACGCTGCTGGCTGCGTTCCGGAGTCGATGCTCGCCTTCGGCCTGCCCTTAGTCTCCTCGTACTCGGCCGGGGGTGGGGCGGCACCCCCGTTGTATGTATAGCCGCTAGACTGTGCCGTGTCGTGATGTTCGTCATGGAGCACTGCAGCAGTCTTCTCCTGAGGCCCCTTGCTCCTCATGGCGCGTTGAGGTCACAAAGAAAAGGAATCCAAGTGAAATCGCCGGGCTTCGTTGATGTGCATCCCAGGAGTCCCAGTGAAGCCACAGGGTTTGCGCATCACCGACGTCGCAAATTCTGCGATTTCATTAGATACCTGGGATGCTGGGCCTCGGTTTTGCTCCAAGGCCTGAAATCCCAGGAATCCCAGGAATCCAACCGACATCGCAGGACTGCATCCCAGAAACCAAAGGATTCCTAAATAAATCATAGGGTTTGCGCATCACCGCCGTCGCGAACCTTGCGGTTTCATTTGGACCCCTGGGAGTCTGAGCCCTGGACCCCTTGGGGATCCCAAGGTTGGCTTTGCTCCAGGGTGTGCCATCCCAGGAATCCCAGTGAAATGACATGGCTTCGTTGGTCTTCATCCCAGAAATCCCGGGAAGCCCAATGAAGTCATAGGGTTTGCGCACCACCGACGTCGCAAACCCTATCGAATTCATTTGGATTCCTATGATTCTGAGCCCTGGAGCCCCTGGGGATCCCAAGGTTGGCTTTGCTCCAGGGTATGAAACCCCAGGGATCTCCGTGAAATCAAAGCGTTCCGTTGATTTGCGTCCAGAAATCCGAGGAATCCACATGAGAGCACAGGGTTTGGTCACCACCGACGTCGCGAAAGGAGGAGGAAGAAGAGGAGGAGGAAGAGGAAGGAGGAGGAGGAAGGGGAGGAGGGGGGAGGAGAAGAGTGACGAGGAGCAGGACGAAAACATGCAGGGGGCGAAGGAAGAGAATGGACGAGAAGAGGGATCGTAAGAACAGGTGGGGCTTGGGATCAGGAGAAGTTCAAGAGGGAACCCAGGGTCTCGCCACCAATAGGCGGCCGGTTGTGGGCTACATCGCCCACTTCGCCTCGCAACGAAGGAATACTCTGAGGTCTGGCCCTCCAGATGACGTTCCTTATTCAATGCCACCGTCGTAGGGCGAGAACGGGATCGAAAAGTAAAGAACATGCAAGTGCGAGCATCGCGAATCGCAATGCACATCCATGTGTGCCGAGGGGGCTGCGCTGTATATGGACATATATATATGTATATATATACATATATATATATATATATATACATACATACAGACATATATATATATATATATGTGTGTGCTCATGTACACATACACACATTCATACACGCATACACACAACAGAGTAGAGCAGCCGAACGGTCATTCACTGTCTCTGGGTGCGTGGTTGAGGTGGGGTTCCGCGGTGCGGATTGTGGTTGCGTTGTTCCATTGTTGTCGTCGCCTTCGGCTTCGACCCACCCGCGACCCACTCCGCGACCACCCCGCGACCCAACCCGCGACCCACCCCGCGACCCACCCGCGATCCGCCCATGTCGCGTCGACGAAACAATCAGCGCTTGTGGCGGGCTCGTTGTGTAACGCATTTTTTTGTACGACAAAAAACGGCGCCTGCGGCGGGCACTTTCGGACCTTCGCAGATTGCCGACGACCCTGTCGCCCCCTCATTCTGAACCGCAGCTGCGGGGGGCTACAGCCGTGCATATGCATATAGATATGTGTATATATATGTGTATACAAGCACTATAGGTATACATGTGTGTACTATTCACAAATAGGGGCCGAAGCACTTCATAAGTACAAACACACATATATATATATACATACATACATACATACATACATACATATGAGTAACCAGATCGAAAGAAAAAAGGAGACTGGGAGGGAGAAAGAGCGAAAGAGAACGAGAGCGAGAAAGAAACAACGAGAGGGATCGGGCCCGCGTCCTCGGCCCAGGGGGGCTGGGCCAGGAACCTGAATTGGGGGTCGCGCGTTCCCCAGGCACCTACCTAAACGGGGGCCCAAAACGGCCCAGCAGTGCCCCAAGACAGTTCCGATGGCCCCGAGGGTGGCCCAATTTAGACCAACGACGGCCCAAGATGCCGAGAAGACGGCCCGAGTGGACCTCAAGACGGCCCGAGATGGCCCCAAGACTGCCCGGAAATTCCAAATCCACTCCAAGGGCGGTCCGAGAGTGTTCCCAAAGTGTTTTTGACAGGCACAAGTCGCTGGTTTGCCCCAGGTTTTGGAAGGAGTGCGCATGCGCGTTTTTCGTGTTCAGACCTTCCGAAAACGTGTCAGAGACTCCCAGCACCACCCCAATACGACCCAAAAGGGCCCCATGAGAGCCCCCAGCTGGCTCCAATCCTGCCCAAGACGGCCACCAGACGGCGTCGAATTGGCCAAAGAGGGCCCCAGGACGGCCCAAGATGACGCCAAGAGAGTGCAGTGAGGACCCCAAGAGACCTCCAAGACGGCCTCTGGGTTCCAGGACACTTCAAAACGGCCCAAGAGCGTCCCAGCTGGTCCCTGGGCCCCGGAGACCGCCCCAAGACACCCCAAAGAGGACCCCAGGAGCCCCTCAGACAGCTCCAAAGAGAGGCCAACAGAGGAAGAAGAGGGCCCCACGAGAGCCCGAAGAGCGCCACGTGATCGTCCAGTAATCCAAGGCCGCTGGCAGGAGAGACAAGGGGGGAGGCAGGAATTGGAGAGAGGAGGGCAGGGCGGGAGGGGCGATGATGCGTGGAAGAGGGAGGAGCAAGGAGGGGAGAAGAAGAACAAGAAACGGAAATTAGGGAAGGCGAGGAGCGCGTAGGATGGGGGTCGGAGGAATTAGGGACGAAGAGGCGGGACGAGTGAGGAGGCAAGCTGATGAACAGGAGGAGGAGGAGGCGGAGGAGGAAGAGGAGGAGGACGTTGAGGAGGAGGCAAAAGGGAGGAGCCTGTGGTGAGGATGTCCTCCCTGGCCCTCTGAGGGTGTCCTTGTCATAGTTGTTGCAACTTCTGCTCAGTACATATTTTCAAGTAGTTCACATGTGCAGCCGTGTGGCTGTCGAGGGCTGGGACGTGCTAGAACTTAAGCGCGCGCGGAGCACGCATGCATGGTTCTAATGTGTACGGACTCTATAGATTAACGGCATACGTGTAAATATATATATAAATATGTATATATATATATATATGTATATGTATGTGTATGTGGTCAAGTAACAAGAAATACAAAACACACAAAAACACATAAACACGCTAGGGTGAGCGGGGCCAGTCCCCATCCACTCAACCCAAGTTTGGTCCTCCCGTGCCCTCTGGGCGCCGCGGCGGCGGGATCTCTCCGGCCCGCGCCCAACTTCTGCACCCCCCAGCCTGCTTAACGAGATGATGCCTCCTCGCTTGAAGCGCTGCCCTGTCCCAACCCATCGCAGATAAGTCTGCGGGGCGCACCAGGAAGGACTTCGATTTCGAGGAACGCCTTTTCTTCTTTGGCGGAAGCCTGCGGAGGCCAGCGAAACTTGGCGGAGGCCAGCGGAAGTCAGAGATGCATGCGTGTTGATCCAGGGCGTCTACATGCGCCAATTTTCTTAGTTTGTTTTGGCGACACCATACGGCCACGAATGCCGCCATAGCGATCGCGACCACCATCGACACCAGTACCACCACCACACATGAGCTTGTGGTAGGTCCTCATCGTGCCTCTGGGCGTATACTGGCGCCAGCAGCTGCGCAGACTGTTCGGCTACTCCCACAACACGGCGACAAGCCTCTCGCAGGATTGTTTGGCGTGGACGTTATGTTGTCTTTGCGCTATTGTGCAGGACGGGTCCTTCTTTTTGGGGGGTTGCAGGAGGAGAGCACATGCAAACATCTAATTGTTGGAGGCGCCATTTTCAGTCGTGGTCGAGTGATGCGAATACGCGGCCCTAGAGTAGCGCGGCTCCTTGTCATGTGCCGACTGTTCCTGCTGGACCGAGAATATGAGGATCAGCAAAGACCATAAACATGATGATCAGGCATTGGCCTTATGTTGTTACCGATGTTGTGAAGATTGCGTTGCCATATCTCTTGTCAGCGCCTGCTCGTAGCTATGTTTGCCCTGGTGGGTTCATTCCCTCACTCCGTCTATCACGCATTTACCTGCCCAGGCCTCTTTGATGCTCGCTATCCAAGCGCAGTGTGCGATTGCACTCGTGTGGGGTAATCCGAAGGATGGTGCCATAGCATGTGGATCCGCGCATCTTCTCACACCTTCCGCCTCTCTCATCCCTGGTCTCTCCCTGCTGCGTCTTCCCCCTTCTTGCCTCCCGATGCGGCTCCTTCTACTTGAACTCCCTCCCTCCTCCGTCCTTCTCCAGCCCCCCCAGCTCCTCTTCTCCTCCTCATCCTCCTGATCTCTTTCTCCTCCTCCTCCTCCTCCTGCTCCTGCTCCTGCTCCTGCTGCTGCTCCTCCTCCTGCGAATCCTGACCTGATCTCTCCTGGCTCCGCCCAGGGCCTTCACCTCGACGATCGACTCGTTCCCTGAGACTTTTCACACGCGCACGCCCCGGGCACATGAAGACTTGAGTCTGCTAAGAGTTGATCTGAAAACAGCAGCGGGAGAATGCTCTCACAAATCTCTCACTCACTGGCATCAGGCAATGTACTGCGTTTCACATTCACTCAAAATTTGTGTTGCTTGATGCCCGTTCGACTCCCCTCCGAGGCAGATCACAAGGCTGCGTCATCAGCCTTATCGGTGGTCATGGTCAGGCCGAACGATCCTTGCAGCACCGCCAATGTGGCATCTCTCTGCTCTGGGAAGTTGCTCATCTCCGTGGTCACCGCGACAGCGATCTTCTCGATTGCCTCCTTGTACTCGATGCTGTCCTGCGGAATCTCGACACGCTCGAGCTTTACGAACTTGCGCTCCTCCTCCTTCAGCACACTGGACCGCGCAGTACCCTTGCCCTCGGTCCCCTGCGGCGGGAAGCGTAGGACGTCGCTGAGGTGGCTGCAGCCTTCTGGAAGCTCCATCTTCATCTTCGGAGTCTGGATCGTCTTGGCATATCTCACCTCCAGCTCGGCTAGCTGGATCACCATCGCGTCCTCTACCGTCGCTGGGCACATCACCTGGATGTAGTTCGTGCTGTTGTGGTAGGGGAGGGTCACTCTCAGGCCGCGAGAAGCTCCTGTGAGCCCAGAATCTAACGCCATGGCTGGGATGGTCACAACCATTTTCCTGGCCGTTGAGATGCATTTGACAGTGGCCGGGTAGGGGCTCTTCCTAGTCGTCAAGCTCTCGAGTAGATTTCGAACGCTCTCAGGATCTCCGGACGCATTCGCTCCCACCATCTCGCAGATCACGCATGCGGCACTGACCGTCGGGGGCGGTTGATCTCCCGCCTGGCTTGAGGAAAACTTTCTACGGACACAATGACGCTCTCGTTCCGCAGCGGCCGACTCCAGGGTAGACGACTCATCAGCCAATTGATGTACACCTGATCGAACACACGCTCTGAGAGGATCGTGGGCATCTGCCTTCTCCTTCGTAAGCGCGTCAGCGAGCAGAGGTCGGGCCCCACCGAAGACATCCATTGAACCTCTGGAGGGCCTGCCGAGCAATCATCATCTCCACTGCACATCGTCTATCCTCGAGGGCTCCTGGAGACCCAATCTTGTTGATGTGATCACATGCGGACTTTGCATCAACGATGGCGATAGCCTCGAACCTCTTGAGGAACTCGTATCGATTTTCCAAGGTCAATTGCGGAAACATCGCACCCGCAAAGAAACCCATTACCCATTCCATATGTCACACACCGTCTGCTAGTACTGACGCCTCCCCACCCAGAGAAGATCGTATGGCTCTCTTGAGCCGATAGCTTCTCCAGACTACAGGATTCCAAGGTGATACCTCGCCTTTCTGCATCTCGGGGTCCGTCACGCTAAGTACATAACCTCCCTGGGTCCGTCGAAGGCCGTCGTTTTCACCCCTGGCAAAATCAGTATGGATCATCAGGCGTATATCCTTGAGTGGGATCGGGAAGAACCGAATCGTGAGGTCCTTCTGTTGTCGAGCCCGAGGCACAAGCAGATTCGCCTCTTTTATCTCCCTCACGGTCGGATGCGGCAGCAGCTGTTGGTTGCGACTGACCTGACACGAGAGATCCGGTCGAGACTGACCGGCCAGCCAGTTGCCTGCCTGGTTCATTCAAATGACAGCCGAGATCTCACCTGGAAGTGCCTTGCCGTCGTTGGGGGCTTGTCGTTTGAGTTTCACTGGTTTCATCTCTTCAGCGTATTGTTTTTGGGACTGCACAATCATACCATCTGGTAGTTGTCGTAACCAAGATCCCGTGAACTCCCCTTCCCCATGTCGCCATTTCCTCCATGGGAATCGTCGTGTCATCGTCATCATCGCATCCTCCCATAGTACTCCCCTGCCACCTCCCACCGTATCGTCAACATGAATACCGGACACTCCACATAGAGCTCCCGGGGGCCCGTGCTTAGAACCTGCAGGAACACAAACAGGATCAGCTGGCTCTTCCTTATCGGACCTCACGGGCTCGAACATCATAAACAGGCAGGGATCGAGAGGATGGGCCACGAAGCCGATCTCCTCGGCAAAGGGCTCAAAAGTAGAGTACCATCATTGAGGCTGGTCAACTCCACCATAGTTGTTCACCAGCTCGTACAGCTGCTCTGGATGGTGACCCTTCGGAATGTGATTTTTCGGGGGGCACACGAACACTGGCCCATTCGGGCGAAATTTCGCATCGGCTTCCAGGAACGCTCCCCGAATATCTCCCAAGGTCAGCTGAAAACAAGCGGAGGCCACCAACTGCAAAAGCGTTGCCTTGCCAGTCACAGACAAAGTCGGACTTTGGGTCTTGCCTGCACGCACCATATGCAATACATCCGGATCCTTAAACCCTTGTACCGTCATATTACATCGTAGGTAGTTCCGTGTTGCCATCGTCGTCCGTCTTCAATGTTAAAACAGGCCTAGACGGTAGGATACGATCTGGAACGTCCAGCCGTAGTCGACGGGATTTATCTAGAGACCGGGGTTTCCATGCTTTCTGTTCCGAGATCAGCTTTAGGTATTCTTTATGATAAGCATTATCCACCTGTCTTTGTCCTCCACCGTCATCCACCTTGGATCCTTCTCACGTTCCTCCTTCCGTCCTCTAGCTAGCAAGACCTCAGTCTCATTTACTGCCAAGATCGGGGCTTCGTCATCGCCGTCCGTAGTAACTGCACCGCAGTCGACCAGCGGAGTCTCCGCACAGCTGGCGTTGGACAGACCTGGTGGACAAGCGAGCCTAGGACCTTCCAGGCCGGGAGGTCCTCCTCCTCTGGCACCGGAACCAACACACAACGATATGGGCCCTTGGTAGCACTACGTCTTGAGGCCGTAGGGTGTCGGGGATCACCGACTGGCACTCGCGAATTAGGGTACCGAGGAACTGGAGTCGGAGCACTGGCCGAACTGCCTCGCGTCGCTTCGTCGGTCGTTTCTGATGTAGGTTCGCGGTCGTCGGGCTGCTGCTGCTCCTGCTGCTGCTGAGGCTCATCTGCATGTTCCCATGCTGGATTGTACTGCTCCTCCTCCTCCTCCTCTGGGCCCTCTGGGGGCCGTGGTCCCCTGGAGATGTCCTCGAAATATCAGCCCTGTAGGTAATCGAGATCCACCGTCGTAGATCGAAGCTCAGCCTCTACGAGTCTCCAGGCGGTACGTTCCTCCTGAGTCGCCTCTCGAAGATGTTCTGGAGATGCTATTACCAAACTCCCAGTTACCTCGAACGGGTCCTACACAGATCCCTGGACGCCACCGAGAAGAGGACTGCTTCCCAGCAACAGCTCCCTTCATCTTCCTCCAGACGGCCACCATATCCCCAGCCTGATACACACGATGGACCCGGGGTCGAGCGTCTAAGACCACCCGAGCAGTTTTCTTCTCGTTGTGCGCCAGGATGGTCCGACGAGCTATCGCTCGGATGCAGGCTGCCCGAGCAGCCACTGAATCGTGATGCAGACAGCTGTTGGCAACCAAGTCCGGGCTCTCCTGAAGCAAGTCTTTTGGGATCCCAGGATTTCGACCAAAAACGATCTGACATGGTGAAACACCTCCCACGTTCAACCTAGAATTCTTTGCTTCCTGGAGCTGCGCCACTCACTCAAGCCACTCCTCCTCGTCCTGAGGCTGAAGCTCGTCGAGCATTGTCTGAAGTATCGCTTCAAACCACTTCCCGTGCAGCTCTGCCTTCCCGTTCTGCTCTTTCCCGGCCGTGTCTACAAGAATCGGCCCATCCGATCCATAGCGCCCTGAAAAACACTGACACATTGGCACTCCCAGCATCCACTTTCAGCCACTTGGGCCTCATAAGGGGCCAGGTCCAGTTGTCACGATACGTGCGCGGCACCACGTATGAGGATTCCGTCTCTCCCTTTCGAAATGGGGCCATCACGTGAAACGAAGATGCGTCACACATTAGGTTCAAGCACTTCCGACGCTCACCTGGAATATAATATGGGAGCCCCTTCACATCCATGCACACCATCTTCAGATGAGTTTGGAGAGTAGGAGGGGAGCTGCACCTAGCGATACCAGGCCTCTGACGGGAAGCACATTCGTTACAGTAGAAGTTCGCAGCCTGTCGGAGGGCCTCGGAACTCGCATTCGCGTGTCGTAAATGTCGAATCATCGTCGCAACCGTCGCATGTCCCAAATGTACGTGTAACCATGTCGGAGGGCCGCCTCAAAATTTTGGGGTCGTCGTGGGATTTCCTGGCCTCCATCCTCATCCGCATCCTCCATCGCACATACCACCGCCTCCTCCCCGCCGTCCTGGATCACGCTCGTCTTGGACAAACCTTGAAGTATCTTACGAACCAGGATGATACGAACTTCCAGCGCTTGCTCAGAAGGACTCCTGAAATCGGATGTCGGAGACCCACCCGGCACCCACTGATCCCGTGGAAACGCTTGGGTTCTGCAGGAGTCGTTGCATTGGGCGTAGGTTGTAGGTCGTTGCAGTCGGAGGTGGCTCGAAGAGAAAGTGTCGACCCTGTGACACCTGATACTCGGCTATCCAAACACACTCCCAAGCATACCTTATGGCTTCCAGAACTTCCCCAAGATGCTTGGCTAGGTCCACTCGTTTTTTGTCTGGAGTCAGGTTCTGGAGGGCCGTCAGTTTTTCACACGGAGGTGTCATCACCACACAGTAGGGCCCGTCGCTTCTGATTTTCTCCCATAAGTCCTGCAGGTCCTGGGGAATCCGAGCATCCCAGCCGTTCACTTTGTGGAACGACCCCATGTCCTTCATGCCGTATTGAGGGGCCACCAGAGCAACCCTTGGTGGTGAGAAAATCTCCATCACGCCCGGAACCTGAACACTGAAAACATCTACGACCTCATTGCCCTCAGGGCGCCGGTCCGGCAACTACTGAAAATGGCCGTCCAGCTTCTCGATCTTCAATTTCGAGCCGTCCACCGACGCGTCTGGAATCGGCTGGTGCTCGAACGCCCTTCCCAGCAGGTCGATCTCGAAGTGTCCACTGCCAGCTGCCTCACGCACTGGCACTGTGATTCCAAGCCTTTCAGGTAAAGTCGATTCTCCGCCATGTCGAGGGTAGCCTGCAGCATCTTCATCACGGGTTTACTGATCAGGAGCCCAGCTGATCCCTCAATCGCAGCAGAGGATCTTCACACGCCGATTGACGTCAGGGAACAACCACTGGATCCAGCACGCCCTCTGGGAACGCCGCAGCTTGCCATCGTAGCTCTTGAACCTGATGCTCGCCACGTCGTCCTCCCACTCCGGCTCGATGCCTGTCGCTTCAGTGTGTTTCTTCAGCGTCTCGGTACCGATCAGGGTCATGCCGCACCCGGAGTCCAAGGCTCCGCATCCTGGGGCATGACACGCGCATACCTCCGTCTCCTGTTTCTCGTCGTCAGCCTCCTCAATCTCATCGTGATCTGCCTCCTGATCTCCATCTCGGCGCTCACGAGTCAGACGTCGGAACCGCTCTTCGTTCGTCACTTACGCCAGTAAGATGTCCACAACGTCCCATATGTCGTCGATCTGCTGTCCGCTATGGCCTACCATCATGACCTGCACTGCCCCCTGGCTCACGCGCTTCGACTGGAACGTGCGCTTCATGAATCCACCCGGTCGTCGCTGCCCGTTCTGGGGTCCGGGCTGGTTCCTCCATTTAGGGCCATTTTTGGTGGAAGTGACCGATCTCCCGGCACAGGAAGCATCTGCTCCTGTCCGTGTGCCGCTTGTAGCTCTCCTTGGATGGCAGACCTCTTTGCAATCTGTCCTGTGTCATCGCTGTCCTTGTCTCCTTCCACGTAGCTAAGATGACGAGCGCGTCTTCCTCATCGATTGGGCCCTCATCCTGTAACAGCTCGCTGATCTCTTCTTCGAGACTCTCCGCCGTCGATGCTGTCTTGGCCTCCGCCGCTGGAGTCCACGGCTCTGGGGGCACCGGCCACTCGTCTGCCTCTGGGATCGCCTCGTGCACTTGAGTCGTCGGCATCTGCCTTGAAAACGCCGTCCTGATCGCTGCCGACATCTCCGCGAAACCCCATTGGCGCTGACTGGCCGCCGGCACGACAGGTCGACGCTCCATGCCAAGCCTCGCCCCTCCGAGGAGCAGAAATCCTGGTGCCACTGCTGGTAGTTCAACTCCTGGCTTCCCCGCCTTTGCGAAGATAGTGCGGGCTCTCCCCGTATACGCCGCAGACGTCTCTCCTCGCTCTATAGTGAGCCCGAACACGCTCTCGAGGGCATCCCCGATCCTGTCGCTCGCCTCCTTATCTGGAAACCGTTCCTCCAGGGCATTACAAGTTGCATGTTCGCCGTGCGGTTGCTCGATGTTTGCAAACTCCAGATGCTCGCATGCCTTCTCCGCTTCATCGTCCAGCAGCGTCAGCACCAGGGGCCCAACTGCTTCTGCTGGCAGCCCGCGCCTGATCTCCACGGCCAGCTTGGCCCCAATCCAGCGTCTCCAGCTCTTGAACTCCGTCGCCGCACTGTTGCCCTTGCCGGACAACCTCCGCCACTGGCCACCGGCCTGACCGCACTGAGCGTTCGTCTCGGCCACCGTCTTTGCTGGAAGACTCGACCTGGCTCAAGATCAATGCGAGTACTGACCTGATCTCTCCTGGCTCCGCCCAGGGCCTTCACCTCGACGATCGATTCGTCCCCTGAGACTTTTTACACGCGCACGCCCCGGGCACATGTAGACTTCAGGCTGCTGAGAGTTGATCTGAAAACGGCAGCGGGAGCATCCTCTCACAAATCTGTCACTCACTGGCACCAGGCAATGTACTGCGTTTCTTACCTCCTTCTCCTCCTTGTCCTTCTCCTCCTCCTCCTCCTCCTCCTCCTCCTCCTCCTCCTCCTCCTCCTCCTCCTCTTCCTGCTCAGATCCTGATCTTTCTCCTGCTGCTGCTCGTCTCT